CATATATGTAATACTATTATATTGCTAGTCAAAGCTCAACGCTGGAGAAACATTATGGTGCAGCCGTATATCAACCTTTTCTCCCACATTTTGTGTACTTGACACAATGCGCATGCGTTGGCATACGTAGAGACTAAAGTCCCTTTAACAGAGTCTGGTCCATAGACATAATATATCTAGACCGAGTGTTGAGGAGTGGAGGTAAAGATGCACGTAGAAAAGGACACTCTGTTTTATGCCCCTTGTGTCCTCTCTTGCTCGCACGTAGCATGGCGAAAGTGAGCGCTATGCTATGTGCGAGCGAGAGAGAACGCAAGGGACACGAAATAGAGTATGTCTTTTTCTACGTGCATCTTTATCCCCACTCCTTAAATAAAAGCAAACGCTCGGTCTAGATATACTATGTCTATGGTCTACCTATACAATAGCAACTTTTGATTGGTCCGCCATTTTTTGGCAACTCCCGCTGATATTTGAATGGAAATGGCAAAAGCAGTAAATTTTCGATGGAAATTGAAAATATACGTGGTAAAAACAATACATACATAAGAATTTTCACTGTACATGAAACGTGTGAAGAGTCAACAGTTTAAGAAAATAAAGAATGCATAGCCATGGATTTGCTGTTATGCATAGCCATGGATTTGCTGTTATATCTATTTATGTTTATTATGCATAGTATTTTTTCTCTGATAAATATATAATCGCAAAACAACAAATCTTTTGAGAATTTTGGAATATAATAGATGACAATTTAAAATGTGATAAGCAGGAACATCACTAAATCTAGATGCAGCACTGTCATGCGCATGCGTTCGTTTAAATTAAAATGGCGTATATTTTTTTCTCTCTCGCAGAATTTTGCCAAAATTGTCAAGTTGGTCAGACTCTGTTAGAGGGACTCTAGTAGAGACTAATCTAAATATCTGCGTTTAGTACTGCTGAAAATGTTTATTTTTATTCTTTGGTATCAAACAATTAGAATCTTTGATAAAAATATAAAATATAAAAATGAAAAAAATAGACTATATAATCCATTTTTTATGTATTTCTAGTCTCTTCAGAAATCAGGGAAAAAAGAGAATTTAATTTTTATTAATTATATTGTGAGTGATCGTACACTTAATCTTATTATTTGTCAGTAAATTTACTTGTATAAGGTTGCTTTTCTTTTCCATATGTAACAGAATCGCATATTGTTTGTTGCCTTATTGATCATTTCTTAAATTAATGAAACTGTCTCAAGGAAATGATGCGCGCATGCGCATTGCCAATCAAGTACACGAATTGTGGAATTGAAAGGTTGATATACGTCTGCACCGTAATTTTTTCGCCAACGCCGTTTATTGGGAAGATATGTGACTAACAATATAGTAGTATTACATATATGCTACAGCCAAACAATAGGATCGCTCATTCCAGTATGTATAGAGTTCAATGAATACGATCTTAATAAAGATCGATGATGGGATCTATTCTGTTACTAGAGGCTCATGCGCATGGTTCACGTGTGACGTGTATTTGAAAAACGGAACGAGCTCTGCACTCGATTTAAGCCCGAATCACACTAGCGGCTCGCGGCTGCGATTGCGAGAATATTCGACTGTGATTGGTCGATTTGCTTGCGACTGGCGACATGCGATCAATGTAGAACGGGCTTAACGGAACGCATCCTATAAGTTTACAGTTCGGTAAGATAACCCATTTCGTTATTAGTAAGGTTAGATTGTATCTTGTTCAATCGGTGTGAATTCGAATCTTGGAATATGAAGAAGACGAAAATTGTGCCAGTTGATACATAAGCAAATTTTTTACGAAGATTAATCACTCTTAAAGAATAAGACGGAAAATAATTAAATTTATATCGATTTTAACCTTGTTTTTATATTGTGATTGATACGATACGTAACACGCGTTTAATATTATGGCTAAAAATCATAGGCGTTTGAAACGTTTAAAATCGGAAAAGGCTAAAGTAAAATTAAAGGCTAAGAAATCTATCAATCAGCTACCAAAGGGCTTAAACGTTACTGATACGTCGTTTAAAGTAAAGAAAATTTTAATACGTGAGCAATTACAACATCGAGATGAAACGGAAATTCTTAGCACTCGTAAACTTAATATTAAAGTACGTAAGAGAATATCTATCTTCTATAAATTACATATGCAATATTATATTGTCTAATTTATTTAATATACCAAGTTTGGCACTTGTATAACGTTATTGGATCGATAAGCTGTATTATTTAATTTATACTTTCAGGATCTCTTGACGCGTCTTCGACATCACAATTCATCGGTAAGGGAAGAAGCTTTGAGACAACTAAAAGACATCTTGTTACGATACCCTCCGAAAGTTTTACGCTCGCAGTTGAGTGTTTTATTACGCGGAATCGCAGCCTTGTCTATTGATAAAGAGAAAGATGTACGAAGAGATTCGTTACATGCGTTGAAGTTAATTCTTGGCCCTATTTCGAACGAGCTACTGACACCCTATCGAGAAATTTTGATCTCTTACTTGAGCTGCGCCATGACGCATATTGATTCGCGTATAAAAGAGGACTCTTTACTTTTCTTGGATGTACTCCTGGAAAATTGTGGCAGTGTACTAGCAAAGGATAGCTATAAAATTTTACCCAATTTTTTGAGCATGATATGTACGTTACATGATGAAATTAAACCTGGCGGACGATTAACGACGACCTTAAATTCTAAAAGTACTAATATTAAATGGAGAATCAAGGTCTTGAAACGTATGGCTGATGTATTTACCTCTATAGTAAACTATGAAAAGCTTTGTACAAGTGCACGCTTGAATGCCCTTTCGACGATGGTTAATGAGGCGAAGAGATATACTAAATATGTTCCCATTTATAGTGGTAGTTCGACTCAAATTTGCAAAATTGATCTTGACAGAGATTTATGCTCGGAAAAGAGTTATGCGGAAGAAACTTTATCTATAGAAGAATTTGTGAAATATGTAGATTTATTGATGCCATTGATGTTTGATATTTGGCTCGAAGTATATCCGGATGAAAGAATTGAAAATGACACAGAAACCATAATTTCCAGCGAAGCGTCTGCGTTATTGATAAGTATTGTTAAAATTCTAGAATCTATTATCGAGTATATCGATATGTTGGATCGCGATGACTACGACGTTCAGCGAATTAAGTATTGGTTCAAGAATACGTTTCATAATGCGTATATGAAGAATTTTCTATCGAGATTCCCATACGGTAAAATGAAAGAGTTCGTTAATGAATCCAAGAAACGTCAAGAAGATTTTTCTCGGATGACATTTACCGAAGGATGTTTAGAGCCAAACTTGGCGCTTTCTCGGATCCATATATGGTTTACATCACTGAATAATCACAATAAACAACTTCCTAAGCTTACTAAAGACTATTGTATATCCATTATGAACTATTTAAATGGTAAATAAATTTTTTACTTAACTATCATCTTCCCTGCATAAACTTTAAATATTTTTCTTTTTTTTTTTTTACAGATGCCATTGAAAATTGGTGCGACTCGTCTGTGTTACTGCAATTGACCAAGCTTCTAAGAACTTTATTTTTGAAAGCAAGTTCAGTTTGGTATGCAAACTGTATTAATTTAAGCCATACATTGCAGTTGATTGTAGAAGTGTCTTCTCGCCTATCTAAAAAAGAATTGCAATCACAACTATTTCTGATTATTGGTGATATTATGTTGGAATGCAATTTAAATGAGCTACACAGGTAATCAATATGGCACTCCAGCGTATAATTAACAAGTTCTATCATCACAATTCTCTTATTTTTTCTTTTTCCTTTCCTTTTTTTTTTTTTTTTTTTTTTTTTTTTTTTGGGGAAAAAATTTAATTTTTTTTTTTTTTTTTTTTCTTTTCTTTTTTTTTTTTTTTTTTTTTTTTTTTTTGTAGGGAAGAAATATTTAAGAATTTTGTTACAACCTTACCAAGCTTACTCCTGAGACCGAGCATAGATGATGCCACAATTCGATTGATTGGTCGGATAGCTTTACGTTTTAAGGAATGGGTCCGGAAGGAATTAGTAATGAAACATGAAGCTATTATCGGTGAGAAATTACACAAAGATGGTTAAGAATAAATTGTATTATCACATAATTAACGTATTCATCATTTATTCTTTCAGAAAATGCTAAGAAAATTGACATTATAGATTCACGCGATGATAAAGAATCTAGACTTATAATCTATAATTTATTTTACTTTATGGATTCACAAGTTTACTATTAAATAATACTATTAAAACAACTCGTTCAACTTGTCAAGGTACGAAATGAAATATATGTTTTTCAATAAATCTTATTAAATCTAACAATGTATTTTATGAGAATGATATACTAGTATCATGCGTATTTTCTACATGTGTACTACTTTGTACTTTGTATAATAAAGTAATCACATGTGTAACATAATGTACAAACGGTTTATATATATCGTAGCGCTAGAATGAGACTGATATAAATGAAAAGAAGAAAAACAAAGATGTATAAATGTATCAAAGTTTTTCTTTTCCGAAAACACTAGATTTTTTTTTCGAGTCCTATTAATAGTGCGATATATATGCAATACACGTTCTGCAAAATTTTTATGTGGATACTGTTGTAAAGTATGCGATGTATATTCCAATATCGTATATATGTGTACATTATTACACTAATACTGACGAGTTTTTCTTTCTAATAATACATTAAAAAGGTGTCTATTCTCGAAAATAGACACCTTATGTATACGATACTTGATCATTTACGAAACCAAGGTTTTCGAAACCGTTTTTCTTATTGATCTTTTTACGTGGTAATTGGATCGAATGATTGTTATGTGTAATATTCGTGATATTTTGTACATCCTCCTTTTGCAGGGTAGATAATATTGGAAGTTGTTTATCGAATTTAGGCCAATTTTCACAATTCTTCAATTCATATTCTATTTTTAGGTATCGTTTTTTCGATTTGTTTGGCTTTTGCATTCTTCTCTTCAAGGCATTCTCGATTATGCGCTCTATTATAATGCTTTCGACGAAGAAACAGATGAGAAAATTAGCTATAGCGAGCGCTAGGATAATGAGTCTCCAGTCATAAACAGGCGGTAACATTAATTGTAACGCATCCACTATCCAGTGTGCCGGATAAACCGTAATGTACGCGCATATGAGCGTTAATAAAAATATGGAAAACATAAATGCGCTGTTCGTGTAAATCGGGCGTCTATATGGTTTTCCGCGTGAAAATATAATTGCCATTGTGATGTATTGAAATATAGAAACGCAGTAGACTGAATAGTTTTCGTAACACGTGTATCTAGTAGTGTTGCTAGTAGGTACAAACGGAGTAAACCACGAAAACTGTCGAACAGCGTGATATGCTATCACTTGAAAAACTATCATCACGGACATGTGTACCGTTAGAGATAAAAGGGGAGTAAAGCCTATCAGACTCGTCATTGGCTTTGTTTTGGATAACTTCTTTTTATACGCGTGAGTTTTGCCGAAAAAGAAGGCAAAGTTAACGATTAAACAAATATCGATAAACAGAAATTGTAAATCCGTCAGGTTTGAGTCTATGGAGTATAATATTATGACGGATAGAAATTCGGTAAGAGAATATCCGACCATAAATTTAAAAATTCCAAACGACGTTATCAAGGCGGCGCGCCCTTCTCGTATTACTTTTGGGACGCAGCTTATATCGGGTACTCTCGAAGTGAAGGGACTAGCCACGCTGCAAGTGAATAACAAAAATGAAAGAAAATGATTAATAGAAAATATCGTAACAAACGCGCATATTTCTCACCTGGATTCTGCTTCGGAGAGCGATATACCAACATGCGCAGTCCTTAATGCTCCACAATCGTTTGCACCATCTCCGCACATGACTATATAAGAGCATTGCGTACAATAGTGTTTTACGTTGTTGCGTGAATATCCGTTATAAATATATCCGTTTTACTTTTTTTCCACTTATATTGTTTTACTATACTGATTTACATACCTACATAATAACCGAGTCGCATAAGCTCCATAATCAATTGTTGCTTCTGATCGCTGCTCATTCTAGCGAATATCGTACCGCGTACGCAAATGCGATCTACGAGATCGGGATAATATTCCCGCAGCGCTTGCCATGTTTGGCCCGTTAAAGCGAATCTGTAATTACAATTAACTATACCGCATTCTATGTCTTGGATCATTGGTGTCGCCAACACTTGATCTCGCGAGTTCTGTGAAAAAGAAAAAAAGATTGAAATACACATTAATCGTGACTTTTCATTGCAGGACTGCTGTCTAATTCAAGACTCGACAAGTTTACCGATTCCGAAGATTGAGACTGAACATTGAAGAATATATTTGGACGATCTTTCTCTCCTCCTCTCGAAGTTACAGTTACATCTACAACATGTTCCTCGATCGAAAGTATTCCACCCTCTTTCGCGACACTTATTGCGGTTTGGATATTATCTCCTAAGAATCAAAAGTGAAATCTGTTAAAATCGATTGTGAATATATGTATATTAAAATATCGCGTAGAAAGAAAATTTGTGAAATATTATTTATAATATCGAACCCGTAATCATCACTATGCGTATGTTGGCTTTCCTTAATTCCGTAATCACTGATGCTGTCGGTCTCTTTAATCGGTTTTCTAGAACGACTAGTCCTAAGAACTCCAAGTCCCGCTCGACTGCTTCTCGGGACAATTTCAATACCTGGAACATACATATGTACTCCCCGAGAGATATCCCATTTTTGAGAATTGTGCACGTTTATATGCGTTGATATATAGGGTATATTACCTTTGCACTATTTTCAGAGATTGTTCGACGACCCATAGCTATTACGCGATAACCCTGTCTTGTGTATCGCTCCAAAACAAGGGAAATGTCGCTAGGTACAGTTTCCGTTTTGCTTAAATTGATTATCATTTCGGGAGAGCCTTTCGTGTAAGCTCTAAAATCATTCGATCCTAATACACGTACGATCACAGACATTCGTTGTAAAGAACTCAAGAATTGATATTGCTGTATTATACCGATTTCCGAGATCTCTTCGTTTATATTTTCTGTAAAATTACTCTCCGGTAGCTTTACGATTACCGGTGCTATCCCGTCGTACTTATTTACGTCTATGCAATCCGATTCTTTTAATATCCATTTAGTACTTTCAAACATCTGTAATGCGTAACGATATCATTACATCGAGATATCGAATGATCACGACGAATAGAAATAGAACGGATATTTTTTACCTTTACGTCCAAAGGATCACCGCAAAGTTCTCCATTGATAAGTGTTAAACTATGACAAACCAGCATCCCTTTAAAAAGGGGATGATCTCTAAGTTTAGATATATCCGTCTCGGCCTCATCCAGGACACCGTTTGTACATGGTACAACACCCCACATATCCAACCCATCTTCGGTTAATGTTCCTGTCTATGTCGCCAAAGTGAAAAAAACGAGAGAAAACTTGTGTTATTGTCAACATTATACATATATATATGTACATACAGTATCGCGCAGACTGCCTGTCTATCTTGCACAACTACGTGATTATGACATAATCTGCTTCTCCTTTCCCTTCCCCCCCCCCCTCTCTCTCTCTCTCTCTCTCTCTATCCATCTATCTACATATCTATCTATCCATCTTTTTCTCACCTTATCAAAACATACGCAATTTATACTGCCGGAAGCATTTATAACTTTATTATTAATACAATAGATTCGCGCACGTTTCAATCTAGCTTGAGCATACAGTTTTCCTACAGTCATCGCGGCTGGTAATGCCGGTGGTATGACTATCGTGATAATATCTAGTGCCTTCATTGTTACATCGCTAGCTGTAATTCCTCTCGAAACCTAAATTATTTATCATTATATTAAGTAATTATTAATACCTGTTAGCTTTAAGTGAATTAATTAAATAGATAAATGCGTGAATACATATAACTAAAAAGAAATAATTTTGTATCTTACATTTACTTCAAAATAAGAGAATTACCTTGGTTACTACGGTGTATATAACAGCCAAAGTTGCAATGAATGCCAAAATGCCAATAAATTTATACGAATCTTTATCAAATTTGAAATCTGCCGGGGGTGGATATAATATAGCGGCGATTAAACCACCTCTGTTAGTTAGAAAACCAGTTCTGATCACTCTTGCGAGAGCCGGTCGGTCTCCATGATATCTGCGCGCGGATCATCTATTAGTTATCGTATATCCAGTACATTATATTCGTTTTATTAAGAATAAAAAAAAGTATACTTAGTTTGTATTATAGTGGTACCACTATATAATGTGTGATGCGTAAACTCTTTAGCATCGTACAATACGTGACGTGATGGTAATGACGTTTTTCTTACTGGTACAGATTCGCCTAAAGTTATTAAAATGAATAAATTTCTATATGTATATACAGAAAGAGAGAGAGAGAGAGAGAGAGAGAGAGCTCACACATTAAAAGAAGCATTGAGAAAAAAGATTTAGTATTTATTAGTTTTACCAGTTAGCATGGATTCGTTTAGTATGCACTGCCCTGTTAATAAGACCGCGTCGCATACGAGAGTTGCTTGATGCTTCGGTAATTCTATAATATCACCGGGCACTAATTCTTTGCTAGAAATATTCTCAAAAATACCAGTATTTCGAAGTACGCGTACGTGTACGCTCTCTGAAGATGCAACAGTACCTCGTAAATTCAGTTGGTTCTAAAAGTCAACGATAATCATATAATTTTGTTATACAAAATATAATGTTATACATAATTTTTTCTTTTCGCTATTTATACATATACGCTATTTATACATATACATACCTTTCGTGTTTGAATTATAGTGCTTGTTATGCCAAACAGTGACATTAATATTATCGCAATAGTGTAATATAGATAGTCTTCCGCAAGCCATAGTGCCACGGTAAATACTTGAAAAATATAAAATGGATTTAAAACTTCCAACAATAATAATACACCGATACTCTGGAGTTGTACGACAATGTCGTTATTTCCATATACGATGCGCCTGTAATAAAGAGAGGGAACATTCTTGAACTGGAAAAAAGCTCCATTTTCAATTATCACATAAAAATGTATATACATTAACAAATACTAAATAAATGTAAATAAAATGTTGTTTTTAACAATTAGCGTTATCTTAAAAAGTTACCTAAGCAATTGCTCTTCCTTGGACAGGCCACTATTGCATGAGAGATGAAAATCGGAACATAATGTACCATTATCAAGTCCTACGAGTTTCGAAAATGCATGTTTTGTAACGTCCCAGATATAACATTTCTTTTTGCACCAGAAAGCCTTGTATTCGTAAACCTCGCAACGCGTGCCGTTTTCTAAGTTAATTTTCAATTTCTTATCCTTGATTTTCTCTACGAGATCTTGATCAATAATAGTGGTCGCAAAACTTTGCGCACTGAAAGTGCATAGCAATAGAATTAGCGAATCTTTAATTCGCATTTCATCCTATATTAAGAAAAAGTAGATGACTTAAAAGGAACCAGAAAAGATATCTGATTAACCAGCAGGCACGACAATGCATTTTGCATGAAATTAAATTCCTGTTTGCGCCCGCGCGTGTCTTTATATGTAAAGAAATTTGTCAAAATTTAATTAATTGTATTCTCTCTCCAGATAATATATTATAATAATATGT